CATGGTAATGGTAATGGTAATGGTAAAACATTCTTCGCCGTGGTAACGGTCATGGTAAAGAAAAAAATCACATCGATGGTAATGGTATGGTAAATGGTAACGAAAAAGTCACGGTAACAGGACTCTAGATGTAGGCGCTGTGCTAAGCTTTCTTTCAAACCATAGTTGACTGCTGAGATCTGTGAACATCAATAAGGCAAAAATATTTTGCATTAAACATAAATGCTCATGAAGACTCAGAATGAAACTTTCAAAAAATATCTTTGACTGCGTTTTACCTGTAACTAAGTTTAAGTTTGTATTAAATATGAGAGACACGATGAAATTTACGGTTCTTGAGGAAATTAACTAGTTCGAAGAAGTGCAACGAGCACCATTATCTGTTCTACACAACTATCGGCAAGAGTTGTTAAGTCAACTTTATTCAAATGTGATCTCAATAGAGCATTCTCAGAAACACTAACTACTACTTATCACAAACTATGTCAAGGAGCAGGACACGGTATTAGTTATGGATTTAAACTGCTTGCATAAAGTAAAGATGAACGATATATGAAAAGGCAGAACTTTCTTGTTATAGGTGTGTTTAATCAAGAACTGGCTAAAAAGGTTGTGTTTATTATTATTGATGGCATTCCTGCAGATGTAATAGAAAACGCTTCCACTCCCAACATTCGAAGGATTCAAGAAATTGGACAGTATACCAGGGCGCATGTTGGAGGTAGTATTGGGACTTATACTGAGACAGTTACTATTTCGGCTCCTGGCTATATGAGTCTACTCACTGGTACCTGGGGTAATAAACACCATGTAGTCGATAATGAAGTTCGGGAGCCCAATTACCATTATAAAAATATTTTTCGACTGGTTAAAGAACGACAACCTGAGACAAAAATTGGCATTTTTTCAACATGGACAGATAATCGTGTCAAACTCATTGGTGAAAGATTGCTGGTGGCAGGGAATATTACGTTTGATTACAAGTTTGATGGCTATGAGTTAGACGAAATCGCTTATCCTCACGATGTGGGAAAATACTACATTTACAATATTGATCAACGTGTAGTCAATGAAGCCTCAAGATGCATCAAAATGAATGCACCTGATCTTTCGTGGGTTTATTTAGAATACACAGATGATGTGGGGCATTTTTCTGGAGACAGCGAACAGTTAAACCAAGCAGTTACTTCTGCTGACAAGCAGATAGGACAAATTTCGGAAGCTATCGATTACCGGATGAAATATTATAAAGAAGACTGGTTAATCATCATTACAACTGATCATGGTAGAGATCCGATAACAGGTCACAACCATGGTGGACAGTCGGAGAGAGAACGAACAACTTGGATAGTGACCAACAGTAAACAAACAAATATTTATTTTCATCATTTTCAACCTGGAATAGTTGACATATTCCCCACTATTATAAGATTCATGGGTCTTACCGTACCAGTTGAATCTATGAGAGAGTTGGATGGAGTACCATTAATAGGACTGGTTTCACTGACTAAACCTGAAATAAATTTAAACGGTGATCGTTTAGAAGTTAGCTGGAGAGTTTTAGATTATAATGGACATGTTAAAATATGGCTGTCAACAACAAATTTATTCCAGTACGGTTTGACAGACAAGTATCACTTGATCAGAATAATACCAGTAGACAAGAAAATGGCAGTAATTGATATAAAGGCATATCCATCACAATTCTATAAAATAGTGTTACAAGGGCAGCATAACACAGTGAACAGATGGATATTTAGATGATGCGGTTGCATAAATTTATAACTGAGCAAATTCAGTATCTACAGACATTCGAAAAGTATAAGTCGAACAAAAACTGTTATCTTTAGCGTGTTTTTGCCGCCTTGTCCTTGTGCCGAATATTGTTTCCTATAGATCTTCAATCTTGTAAAACCACAAAGTGTGTAGTTATTCAGACTAATCGAACGAACGATCATATCAATAGAAACTGTTTATTATTTCTGCACCGTTCAAACTACAGGTTAACTGATCATCTTTCATACCATCTTAAGAGTGGAAAAATGGTTTACTGGATAAAGGACAGTCGACAACTTTATTATTTTTTTAAAAAGCGTCACTAACAAGCACCTATTCAACAATCATGTGTTGATAATTTGGATCAGCAAAAAAATGGTTTAACTAGAAGTGCAATCAGAATTCTTTGGTGAGATGAGTTCTGTCTTTTGGCTGCGTGTATCTTTTTCCAATCAGAATAACACAAATGGGCGTAAATGGTACAAGATTGTATTATCGCTCTGTCACCAAATTTAGAACAGAAGCAAGAAAAAGTAGGCTATAAGTAATGTTAACATGAGGCGACTTTCACTTATGTGTGCATTTGTTCTTTGCTAGTCAACTAAGTTCTGAGACAATACAAAAAATTCTAGGGGGTCTAAAGCTCACTTCATTAATCGTCGATAATTTCTCATTTGCGAGGAGCAGGCAAAATAAAGGAATCTAGCTAGGAATTCTGGCATGCAATATTTTATATATATGTCCTCAAAGAAGTATGACATGTATACAAAATATTCGTGTTCTATAATAGTTGACAACACCTCTCATCTGACGATAAGATCGTACTTAAACGCTATATTCTTTTCTCACTGGTATTGTCATGTATCAAATACTACCGATAAATCATCAATCCTTCATTTTTTTATAATTAATAAAAGCTAATCCTCTAGGTCAAAGAACACATAGTCCAGGAGATGACGAGATACTCTAGAATACGAGACGATGAATACAGGTGTTCAGAAAGTGAAACACACAGTAAACAAAACTCGAGATTGATACTCATTAATCATGAATTTCATTTCCAGAAATCTTTAGTAAAATCGTTTCCTGCCGACAAATACAAAGTGAAATGAGATGTGAAAGAGTACTTGAACAAAAATGGCATGTGCTCGTTTTGGATGTGCTCGTTGGATAAGGTTCGGTAGTATAAATACATCAGGCATGAGATCCTAAACGTGCATAGAGGAAGCCACTAACAGCTGATTGGCTCAGCGCAAGAAAAATCAAATTTGAACCATCCCAAGCACGAAAAAAGCAGCTAGCATCGCTCGATGCATCTAGATTCACTAGATACAATGATAGATGCAGCTAGCTGCATAGGAAAGAGAGAAAAGTTGAATCGAGCATCGCTCGATGCAGCTAGATGTGGACGATGAACTGCTAGATGCATCGACCAAAAGACGATGGAGATTTTTAAAGAATAGTTAAATAACTGTGCATCTAGTAATAGTCGATGCAGCTGGCTTCATACATCTAGCTGGATCTACTAGTGCGTCTAGCATCTAGTGAAAGTCGATGCAGCTAGCTTCATTTGATAGATGCACTAGTAGATCCAGCTAGATTCATTAAGCTAGCTGCATCGACTATTACTAGATGCACAGTTATTTAAGTATTCTTTAAAAATCTCCATCGTCTTTTGGTCGATGCATCTAGCAGTTCATCGTCCACATCTAGCTGCATCGAGCGATGCTCGATTCAACTCTTGTCTTTTTGCTATGAAGCCAGCTGCATCCACTAGTGTGTCTATTAAATAGAAAAGTATAAAGATATGATGAAGCAATAGAATAAATAAATACACTAGTAGATTATGGTCGATTATTACATAATCTACTATTTTTTCTAAAAGAAATAAGAAAAAAGAACTCAAAAAGGATCGAGAATCCTTTTTAGTGACTGAATTACCGTAAGGTAATCGTTATCACATATGATGATAACATCATGCTTGGACTTGTGTAGAATGTGTATCCGAGAGATACTGACGTTCAAACCATTCGGATTAATAATACGGTCGAGCCAGAATGTCATTTTAGACCTGTACTCTCTATATCTACCGTACTGACCGAGTATGGCCGTATCACTACATCCACAAGTCACCAGAGAATAATGAAATTATTACACCGAGGCTGTCACTTATCTCTATTCTCTTGCAAACTTCTATATATTCTGATATTCGTTTGAGATTGTGCAATAATCCATAGTGATAAAACATGGACTATCCAATCATCGGTAGCTAGAGTTAATAAGCGCTCTCAGAACCTTTTTCTACTCCGCACAGAACAGTTTTGTCTTTTATTCTGTTTCGTTTTCCAAAAAGCAGTACTCCAATTTTTTCCTTGTTTGAACTGTATTTCCTTTATATCTGATCTGCATCACGATATGACAGATTTCGATTAAGTAGATCAATGTGCCTGGATAGCCTAGTCGGTAAATGCTTCGTAAGTATATATATAAAATTCTATATATGATATGTGATACGAAGTGGTCGAGTTCGATTCTCGTAGGCACAGATTGTTTTTTTACTTTTTTGTATCTAGCTGCAGCGCTCTAAACTAGATACGGAAACTGTGAAAAAAAAATCGATGCAAAAGGCGATGCACTGTTAATGCATCGCGCTAAATATCGCCTTTTTTATCGTTTCAATATTCCTATATTAGTAGGCGATGCATCGCCTCTTGCATCTAGTGCATCGCTTTTACTAGATGCATCTAGATAACTAGATTTTTTTTACTCATTTATCTAGATGCTCCTGCTGGAGCATCGCTAGATGCACCAGCGAATGCATCTAGATATTTTTGCAGGGCAGGTTTTGCTTGGGATATATAGCGAAAGCCAAGTTACTTGAATTAGCTTTTACGCATCTGCCACCTCGACAATATATAGTTGAAAAAGAAGCAAAAATGCAGTAACGTCATTGAAACTGCTGCACTGTTATATAAGAGAATCGTTTCCTTTTAATGTGTTTCTCATATAGTCGCTATCGCATCATGCCTTCTTGTGACATCATTGTTTATATTACAACATGTTTTCTGTTACGTTATCTTTACTTACATATCTTTCTCGACTATATATCCGCAGGCTTGTACCTGTACTAGAGAGTGTGCTTTTTGCTTTCTCAATAAACCATTTGTACATACAAGTCAAGATTTGAACAAGTTACGTGAGTACTGAAGGAACTGGTAGAAACGTTGGACTTAAAGCAGACGGTACAGGTTGCTGATTATTAGGGAAAATTACTGCAGAACGCGATTGATTATCAAACGTATCATGTATAAGAATCTTCGTCGAAATCCACGTATAATCTTGAGTATAGATGTTTGCTAGAACTGCAACTGTCGTTCCGTTCAATCATGCAACGCTTTTCCCGTACCCAATGTTCCCTACCCCGTAAGCGTTCTGCCGAACAATCCCCGCTCGAAAGTACATAGGTGTGGATGTCTTCACCGTCATAAGTATAACAGCGTTAAGTGACTGGTCACCGACTAGGATTTAATCTTTGTTGTTGATGCTTACCGACATATCGTAGACTGGCGAACACGTGGCGCCCACATTTGCTTTGCCAGCAGTGCTCTCGGGAAATGAATTCCACGAATCAGCCAAAACAAATTCAAACGATCGTGGGAAATCGGATGAATTCACATCATTAGAAAATCTTTGTTAGTTTTATGAAAACAAAGTCATTTCTTCTGAATCATAAAGGTGTATGTTTAAAAACATCTTAAGCAATGTTTTCTTCTTTGGAAAACAGAAAAGTAAATCATTAATAAAATGAAGTTTGAATTCTGAGCTGCAAACAATATCTTACCTATACACTTGAATATCTTTACAATAACAGATATCTCAAATGAAGTGAAATTAACATGTGAACACACAAAGTAAAAAACATTTCTTTAACTTGAATAACAGCTTATTTACAAAAGAAAGTAGCATCCTCAGTAACTATCAGTACTACATCTCGTGTAAGTGCAGAAATATTGTGTGAGGTGTTTCTATATAATAAGAGTTTATGCACATAATTAGCTGTTAGCTCAAAATCCCGCTGAATGATTATCTTCAGGATACCGTATTTCAATGATCATCAGTTCGTGCATCTTTGCACATCCATCAAAAGATGGAAAATAATAAGCTCTATGAGACAGTCAGAATCAGTTCCAGAACAACTATGGGTAATTGTGATAAATACTACCTACATGATTAGGATTAATATCCACTTTTCTTTTATAAAAAGAATAATTACTCAAATCGCTATTGGCAAATGATAGCTGGTATTTATACGTATATAACCAATGTTTAAATATATAATGAACAATTAATAGTAAATAAAAAAATAAGAATGGCCGGATAAACAGTTATAAGTCGAATGAAGGATGATTTATCTAGGTTATTTTTCCAAATAGTATTAGTTGTAGCTAATAGTAGCAATTCTTTGTTCACAGTCACCATGTCTTTAATTGCACAGAAAAAATTACAAAAGAAAAAGAAACACCAAAATTAAAAATAAATCAAATTTTCACCCTGATTTCGACACCTAATAATTTGACACTATAATTCAAGTGATGACTGCACAACTTGAAGTGATACGGTAGATTTTTTTTGTATGATGTCTGTCACCATTTTCGGCGGTAAAACTCCTTTTTGCTCGTCAAAGAGTTGACATGTTCTCGCAATGATCTTCCCAAACACGAATGTAGACCCGCTAAACCGCACGGGTAACCGCGTGTGTTTTTATTTTATACGTGGTTCACACGGGTTCATGCGGATATAGGCCCGGCTCTCGCCGGTTGAGCACCGGTAAATCGTCGATTTTAACCGGTTGTTGATAAAAAAAAACGCGGTTCTACGAGGTTCATCATTTTCATTCATTTTTTGTCAAATTAATACAAGCGGTTCTCAGCGGATGTGACTGTGGTTGACGGCGGTTGTCAATAAAAAAGAAGAGGTTATCTCCGGTT